AGACCCACCTTCCTGAGAGACTGGCCAGGACAGTGAGGCCCGACCGACAGGAAAAGAGGGGACCCAAGGAAGAGGCCCGACCTGGCCCCCCGCTTGTTATTGTAAATAAAGTTTTATTGGAACACAGCCTCACCCACGTACTTATGTATTGTCTGTGAAGCCTCCACGGGACAACAGCAAGAGGGGGTTAACTTGCGACAGAGACCATGGAGCCTGCAAAGCCTAAAATACAAGCTCACCAACCCCGACATAGAGGTTCTAGGCATAATAAAAGCTGAAAGTTTCGGAGCAGTTACTGTTTCAGATATCAAACTAGACATGTCACGTGTATTAATATATTTTGTCCTCACACAATAACCTATGAGTAGACACTGTTTGTGGCAGCCAGTCTCAAGGGGGCCCAGTGAAGCTCACGGAAACTCTCAGGGACTCAGGCCCTGGGGCAGTGCCCGCGGCTGGGGCAGCCGTGCTGACTCACAGAAGGCGGAGGGACTTTGAGACCCTGCTGGCTTCTGCCTCCCCCTCCTGGAGCACTTTGGGGATCCCTGAGCTGTGGGGAGAGCCTGGGCACCGTCTCACTGTGCTCACACCAGACCCCCAGGCCAGGCCAGCAGGATGGAGCCAGGGCCCAGTCAGCCCGCACAACCGAGAGGCAATAAAGCAGCGGCCGGTGGTGCTGGGTCGGTGGGTGGTTTCATGCAGCCATGTGACCTCCTGGGCCCTCCCGGGCTGGCGACCTCGTGGCCTGTCCCTCTCACTCTCCCTGACCAGTGGGCCGTGCCCCTGCCCCTACAGTAACCCCCTCGAGGAGTTTTTCCAGATGCCGATTAAATCCGAATATCTGGGAATGGGGGCCCAGAGTAGGTATTCTTTAAATCGCTCAAGACTGGAGACCCACAGCTCCGTCACTGTTTCCAAAACTCGCTTAAAGATCAGGCAGGCCTGGCAAGCCATGGCTTCCAGAGCGCCGACAGGCCCTGGTTCGGCATTTCCAGGGAAGGCCCCATGAGCTGGAGAAGCAACACATCCCCCAGGTGAATCTTATTACCAAGTTAAGAAGCAGAGGGGGAAAGGAGGGCCAGCCCCCAGATGGGAGGACTGTCCGGGAGTTTCCTGTTCTGTGAAACACAGGCTCACCAAATCCCCAGCTGTGTCCTCTTGGGTGGTCCCAACAGAAGTAAGTGCTTATGTGGGCCAGAGTCAGGCCAAAGGGTGCCCCTCCGAGCCTTACTCACCACGGCCCAGACTGGGGACATTCGCGGGACTGCCCAGCCAGTGGACTCTGAGGCAGCGGTGAGAAATCATGAGGCACTGACACACATGACGGCACGGGGTGCACAGACCCACAGGTGAGTGGGGAAGGCAGACACAGAGAGCACATTCCACTCACACGCGGTTCAAGGGCCAAGTAGACTGATCCACGGTGACCGAGATTAGAGCAGTTACCTCTGTGAGCGTGTCCACATGCGGCTTCCATAGCTGGGTCTAAGAGTGGATACGCACACGTGTGCACGTACAAGTCCTGCTCCTTACAGGATGCTGTCAGGTGTGCAGAGCACGACTTGCCTGCATTTGGGGCCCAGGTGAGAGAGCTTTGCTTGCTTGCCTGTTCATTGCCTATTTGAGCTTTACATTATCCACAGAGATGTCTGCAGTGAACAGATCATAAGTGTACAGCCGGATGAATGTTTCTGTGTTCATGTGCAGTGTTTGACCTTGTCCCAGGTGCTGTTCTAGGATTCCCGGAAACAGAAACCAAGGCTGGAAGACACCCCGTTTGCATGGGTTTTATACTCTGGTGGGGGAGAGACAACAATACAAGACAGAACGGTCCGTTTTCGTTGGTTCACACGTTGTGAGTGCCTACCACGTGCCAGGCGGTGAAGCAGGCGTGGAAATGCAGCTGGAACCACAACCCAGCCCTGCTCGGACAGTGCCACAGTCTGGTCATGTCTGGAGAGCCCCACTTGGAAGGGTTAAGTACACCCGTCCCTCCTGAATATTTCCTGAAGTCTCCCACTGACTCTGTCCTAATTCAAGCCTCTCCCTGCGCTGCTCCGTGGCCTGTCGGAGTAGTTTCCTAATCAGTCGTGTTTCTGGTCTCCACGTCTGCTTCATTCTCCAGGCCAACAGCCCTGCTTAAGTGTTCAGTCTAAAGATTTCACTTAGTGTTTCCCTACTGCCCAGGCAGCTCCAGGGTCAGTCTGTGTGGGCTTGAATCCTCACTGGGAGAGTGCATGTTGGGACCACAGGCAAGTTCTTTAAACGCCCTGAGCCTCATGTGTGTTTTCTGTAAGATGGAGACAAAACAACAATAATAATAGACACCAACACCGCCCGTCTCCCTGAAGAGGTTGAGCTTTAATCTACCGTAATAGGTATTCATTCAGCGAGGGCTAAACCTGTGCGAGCACCATCTGTTTACTGTTCCCCCTCACTCTCACCTCTCTGTGCTACTTGAGTCTGGAGTGACTTCCCTCTGCCTTCTCCCGGCTGGTTCTTATTCAGCTCAGGTCTCAGCCCGGCACTGCCTCCGCCAAGGAGCCCTCCCTGAAGCCACAGACAGAGCCGGGTGCCCTTGACTGGACCCTCACGACATCCCGGATTGAATTTGTCCGTCTGCCCTCTGTTCTTATTTGTCTCCGCTTGCTCAAGTGTGAGCTCCTCCCAGGCAGGCCCGAATCAAATGCCTCTTTACTCCCCCAGCTGCAGACCCTTGCCATTCAAGGCAGGCACTGGATGTGTCCACTGACTTGAGTGGAACCTGCCAAGCATTTTCTTTTTTCTTTTTATTATTTATTTATTTGGCCACCCCATGTGGCATGCGGGATCTTAGTTCCCCAACTAGGGATCGAACCCATGGGCCCTGCAGTGGAAGCACGGAGTCTTAACCACTGGACCTGCAGGGAAGTCCCCCAAGGATTTTCTTAAGGGAAGGGGCCTTTGAGTTGGCCTTGAGGCATGGGTAGGACTTTAAAAAGTTATTTAGAAACAAGTTATACATGCACACAATATCAAATCCAAAGTAGGACTTTAAAAAGTTACTTTAAAACAAGTTATACATGCACACAATATCAAATCCAAAGAAACAAAAGGGCTCACAGTGAAAATTAAAAGTAGGTCACCTCTCACCACCCAGCTCCCTCCCCAGAGGCCACCATTGGTGTCAGTTTCTGAGTATTCTGTGCAATTGTCTGTCTTCCCCACCACACACACGCTTTTTTATTTTGCAAAAATTTAAACCAACAGAAAAGTTGCAAGGACAGGACAATAAACACCTTTTGCTTGGATTCACCAATTAACATTTTGGCACATTATGCTAAATATTTGATAGGCATTATATCATGTAATGCTAACAATAAGCACACAGTCATGCCAATTTTGTAGATGAGGTAACTGAGGCAGCAGGTAGGTGAAGGCACTCAACCAAGGTCAAGGGCTGGCCTTCCCCCTTAGGTGACCACAGGAGTTTGATCCACCTTTCTTCAGCTCTCCTGGGAGGAAAGTATTTTCTTACACTGACTTGAAATTCACCTCCCCGGGCTGTTCACCGGATGCTCAATGGAAAAGTACACAGCCCTGGAAGCAGTTGCTGCTTCTTCTAAAACCTTCCATTCCCTTAGCAACAGCTGCTGTCGCTGCCACTAACACATGCTTCAGTGTCACCTCCTCTGTGAGGGCTGAGTTGGCTCACCCCCCGTTTGGAAACTCCCATGGTAGACTCCTGGCTGCCAGCAGGATGACCTTTATGTGCGCCCGAGCTTGGAACCCGAGGCGTGGGGTGCCCTGGCCCTCGGGAATCCCTCAGCCTCATCCGTCCTGCTCCTTCCTCTGTACCTCCACCCCAGCCCCTCTCGACCTCTCACCTTCTGCTTGAATTTCCCCTCCTCTCTGAAGCCGCCCCTAATTTGCCCAAGGAGCGCCCCTCTCTTGGCTGCTGAGCCTTCTGCCTGCGCCCCCTTTACAGTCTTCTCCAAGTGGTCTTCTGGCCAGGAGGCTGGACAGTGGACGACTGGAGTGACAGCTGGCCCGCCTAGCAGACCCCGCACACGCACACATAGGAGCCTTATTTTCCTCAAGCACGTAGTGGGGACCGGAATGCCTGGCTCTGACAGTTCTTCCTGGCTGACATCTCTAAGTCACCCCCCGCCCCCCAAAACCCTACGTCCCCCTCCTTAACTTCTCTGCGCCTCAGTGTCCGCCCCCATAAGATGGGGATGGGGAGGCTGTGAGCCTTCACTGAGCTCATGCAAATCAAGTACTTGGAACAGTATGTAGCCTTGCTGACCGCCACGCGGGGCCGGCGCATAGTGGGTGTCAAACTAATCGTCTCCGCGTGGGCGCGAGACCGCGAGGTTGCAGGAACTGTTTGCAGAGCCAGCCCGCCGTCCCCGCCTCCGCCTCCGCCTCCGCCTCCGCCTCCGCCTGCAGGGCCCGCCCCGCCTTCAGGCC